CCCAATAGCCAAGATTATCCGAACTCTCAACGCGAGGTGTGAAATGTTGGCTGTTGCGTCATCCGAACAGAAAGAATTGGTCAAGGCTTTGGGAGGGAAAATCGCTGAACTCGAGTTGCAGCTTAGTGTATTAAGTAGCCCTAACCCCAGACCTACCAAAAGACCAAAGTTATCCATTAAAAATGTTACACGTTCCGGCGAAAAACAAGCACCATTAGCGATAAACAACTGTGATGCCAAGCCAGTTGAAAATTCTATAAAATCTTCTGTTGTACCGCAAGGCGTAAAGAGTTATGCACAAATTGCACGATCATCGCTATTAGCTGGGCAGCACATTACAAACTGTGTGAATAACGTCGTTGCACAGGAGAATTCTTGCTGCAGCCTTGACTTGTCTTCCCCACAAGACAAGACCAACACTCCCACACGACAAACCTCCACCCAAAAAGAACTGCAACAAACTAAATTACTACGCAACCAACAAGCGATGACAGTCATATGTTCAAACGTACCAGAACCCACCAGCGAGTCGTTAAAAGGTCGACAAGCCGAAGAGCAAAATCGCTGGACTGAGATAAGCTGCGCACTAGGACTAAACGTTCTCCCAACTAGTCTTACACGTCTGTCACGAAACCCATCGTCTCCTCACGTAGGGGAACCTCGGTTACTGCGAGTAACATTTGGCAACACAAAGGACTTGGAGGATGTTCTCTTAGCAAGCCACAGTCTACCGAACTCTTCTCTCAGTGCCCGAATTTTTCCAGACATGCCATGGAAGGAAAGACAAAAGCGAAAATCCGACCCAACCGCGTCTCGTCAAAATGTAATGAAGAAAGTGGTGTTGGTTCATGGTGTGCCCGAACTGAAACATGGCGACACCAGTGAAAGACAAAAACACGATATTGATGAGTGGCGCTACATCACAGAACTCTATGGCATGCAGAATGTTGTGGCATTCGACGTCAGCCGCTTAGCTTCCTCCCCAAACTATCAAGGGAGCGGGCCGAAAATTTTGAAAGTTACCTTGGCTACGCCGGAGATGGCATCAATGGCAATTAACGTGTGGTACCACAGCAGAAGGCTAGGACCACCAGAAGTACGACTGAGACCATTCCTGCAAGCAGTACAGACCACTGGTACAGTTGAGTCAGACCTGGCTTTTCCGACCATAGACCAGCCAAGCGTGCAAACACTCGTGTCAAAAAACGTGGGCAGACCGGCACTGTTTGTGCCGGTCAAACACAGCGAACCCACCTCCTAATGCGGCAACAAATGCAATGCTGCTACACAAACGCCCAAGGGCTTTACTCCAAGTTGCCGGAATTGCGCCATCGGCATGAAGCAGCAACTTGGGACATCATAGCATTAACTGAAACCTGGCTCTCAAACGAGATTTTGGATCCAGAAATTGAACTTAGTGAAATGTCAGTCATACGAAATGATCGTCCATCTCGCGGTGGTGGCGTTGCTATCTACTACCGAGATCACCTGAAATGTGAAGCTCTCACTGAGCATTCCCTTATTATCCCCGACGCCTTATTTTGCCGGCTGCAGCTATCCGGTCCCGATAGTTGTCCTCAGAAGAAGACACATGATGCTTGCCTCATAGCAGTTGTCTACAGGCCGCCGAACTCCTCCGCCGACAGCGATGATATTCTGTTAAATGCTCTCCAATATGCTATGTCGAAAAAGTACTCACACTACCTAATAATGGGTGACTTCAATGTACCGTCAATAGCATCTGTGTTCCCAAGTGGGCCATGCTTCAAATCAAAACTCCTTGAGTTCTTGACTATGGCAGTTTTGTATAACCATGTGGATCAACCAACCAGACACCGCGGTTCAAACAAGCCTTCAATACTTGATTTAATCCTGACTAATGAGGAGTTAATGGTTGAGTCGGTTTCATACAACCCCCCGCTAGGTTGTAGCGATCATTCAGTTCTAACGTTTGATTATGTGTGTTATGCCAGTATGGTTGACAAAGAACCAGAAACCCGACGATTCATCACCAACTATTCCAAGCTTCACACTATAGCGACAACCGTTGACTGGGACCTCCAGATGCACACTTCGGCGAATGATGCCTGGCAAGTGTTGAAAGGCAAGATAAACTGGGTCCTACAATCAGCTTCAAAAGACGTACCATTACGAGTTTCGCGACGGAGCAACAACTGGATCCGGAGTAGAACACGTAAGTGGTTGAATAGGCGAGACGAGGCTTGGAGGGGTCATTTGCTAGGTCCAAGTGATATCACGTGGAATCATTACAAAACAGTCAGAAACTACTGCACTTCACTCCTTAGGGCTGACAAGTACGAATGGCAGGAAACTATGGTACACAAATTTACTAGCAATCACAAACTGCTCTACCGGTATGTGAATGACAAAAGGAAGGTTAAGACGGGAATACCACCACTAGAGACGGTCAATGGCCTAACGGTTACTGAAGAGGAGACCGCGGACGCATTGCTCATGCAGTTTGTCTCAGTGACTAGACACACCATGGAACCATCGCCTTGCTACATCCCAGCAAATGTCGTCGGCTTATCCACGGTCAACTTTAGCCCTACATCTGTGGCAAAGAAATTACAGTCGCTCAGGGAAAATAGTGCGCCGGGAATTGACAAGATCTGTCCGAAAGTACTTAAAACCCTTGCACCCACCATAGCAGTCCACCTTGCAACCTTTTTCCAGTTTCTATTTGATTCTCATACACTTCCGTCTGAGTGGAAACGTGGACTTATCACTCCGATATACAAGGGAGGTAAGCGGTCAGACCCTGCCAACTACCGACCTATTACTCTCCTTCCTGTTCTATCAAAAGTGATGGAGTCTATAATCGCTGATGAAATGGTGAGATATTTTGAAAGTCTACAAATCATCTCCAACCTCCAACATGGATTCAGACGCGGACGATCTTGCCTCACCAATCTACTACTTGCTCGGGACTCATGGACCAGGGCTGCTGACGAGGGAGTTCCCGTAGATGTGATTTACTTGGACTTTTCTAAGGCATTCGACAGAGTCAATCACCCAGCACTTCTCCGAAAGCTTGCGGCCTATGGTATCCACGGATCCTTGCTCACATGGTTGGAAAGTTACTTATACGACAGAAGAATCGAGGTAAGGATCGCCAACACCCACTCCGATAGCCTATGCGTCACTAGCGGCGTACCGCAAGGATCAGTTCTCGGCCCGTTACTCTTTTTAGTCTATATCAACGACCTCCCTGCCAACATTCAATCACCTATGCAAATATTCGCCGACGATGCTAAGATGTGGCGAGCTATTCAGTCAACATCTGACCCTGTCTATCTGCAGGATGACCTGAACCGGATTCACGAATGGGCAGTAAGCAACCAACTACCCCTGAACCCCGAAAAGTGTCACCTGTTGTCGCTGCGCAGTAACTGCAGCAACACATATCACCTGGGGCAGCGCGTTATAAAACAGGTGAGCAACGAAAGAGACTTAGGGGTCATCGTGCAAGAAGGTCTGGGTAATTCGCTCCAATGTTCAAAGGCAGCTAACATAGCGAACTTAAACTTGAGGCTTTTGAGGCGAGCGCTCGGTACCTTCGAGCGGCAACTCGTGCCATTATTGATTAACGCCTACATTCGTCCCCACCTCGAGTATGCGGTGCAGGCATGGCGTCCGTGGTTAAAACGGGACATTCGTCTCCTGGAGCAACCACAAAGAAGAGCCACTAAGGCAACACGTGGTCTATCGGGCCTTAGTTATGAACTGCGCCTTCGTTCGATCGGTCTGTACTCCTTAGAATACCGACGACTTCGCGGTGATCTGATCCTCACTTACCGGATACTAAGAGAAGAGGACCATCCATGTAAGTCGCTGTTAACATTATCTGCCGACAAACGATGCCGAGGCCATGCACTAAAACTTGTGACTCAATATTCCCGTTTAGATTGTAGAAAGTTTTTTTACTCTCTTAGTGTCTGTCCGCACTGGAACGCACTGCCATCGCATGTGGTTAACGCACCAAACATCGAGACATTCGAAAGACTATTGGACTTGCACTTACATGATACACATTATATAACGGTATGACAAACTGCAGTGTCTAACTTACTGATATTTTTGTGTCACACCTGAAACTTTTGTTTTCTTCCATTTGCCATCCTGTGGGTCTTGTAAAGTTATTGCTTTTTATCCCACCATACACTATTGAACTATTAATACACCCGAATCTGTATGAATCAGTCTCATTACGTTCGCGCTGCGCCAGTGTCAGGGTGTCAAATGAGTGGATGGTGGCCTGTTGGCAGTAGTTTTGTAGGATCGTGACAAAGTACATACTAGCACTGACGTGCTTGTCTTGTTGGACCCATTTGGATTTGTTTACTTTAACAAGCGTCCAAGGCAGTATTTTTAACTTGGCCTGAGTTTTTGTATGTTGGCTCAGCCCCGGCTTTGTTTAGTTATGTGTTCCCGATAGTCTACGCGCTACGCGACCTCACTAAACATCTTGTTGGTTACATATGAGAGGAAGGAGTTGAAATTCTCCTGAATCTCGAACTAAGGAATCGATTATTTATCTAAACTGTTGACTTTTAATGGCTGTCTGGGTAGATAAAGCCACCGTGACTATCATTTTTCATCCAAATGTGTACATATAATGGATAAGACTACGAGCGGATTATCGTGCAACCGCCAGCATCGAAGGATAACAGATAGTTCCACGGTCCACGCTTAAAATGCTTTGATTTTGGATCCGTGCGAGCTGAATATGTCCATACGAGTAATAAGCATCAGATAGTAACATCTCCAGAACAGCATCCGAAATGATTGAGGAATACTTCACGGAAAATAATTTACCTGGTTTATTGTACACATTTTAAGGCGCAAACATTGACCAGTAAAGTATAATTGCACAAAGGCGCTGACTCCGGTTTGAAAAGGCAGAGGGCTGAGAAGGTAATAAAACGACAATTATTTATTATAACATCTTAGGTGTAGAAACAGTATACACTTCGTTTATGCCAGTATTTGTTCAATCCCTGGCATATTGGCCTTGTTCGCGTGACAATGTCAGGTCCGTTTACAACTTTAAAACATGCTTTTTTCGGAATTGTACTTTCCATCTGACTTCATTACTGCATTACTGGCATTACGCCCGCTCAGCACAACTAGACAACTTCACCATGTGCCTCACACGCGCAGCAGTCTAAACATTTGACTTCTATCCATTATCACGCCGGCGAGTCAAAGTACCTGACAAACATGTGCGATTGAGGAAGCACTTTACCTCACAATTCAAAATGGATGTAGTTACATTACACAGTAATACGACAATCTCAGTTGACCACGATTGCGACCAAATTCGAAGCACGTTTCATCTGCTGGTTGTAGACAGTCGCACACAGTACGACATCGACTTGTCGACCTCAAGTTGACCGTTTGTTGCGATCAGGTCACCTGCGCTGTCACAATTATGTGAATTCACAATCATTTCACATTGACTTGCTCTGAGCAGATATAACGAGACCAGTGGAGACATTCAGCCACACAATCTAGTGCTAGCTGCTTTCACATGCCTGGTGAGTCGAGTACATGTTCTGTTTGTTAACGTTTCAACTGTGTGGTTTTAACTTCAAATCATATGTACCCGTCTCTTGGTTTAGCTTGTGGTGGTCCCGGTTGCATCTGTTGCGATGGCTGTAAGAAGGAGGGAAAATGCACCTGCAAGCCGAAATCGTGTGAATGCAAGCAATGCCCCTGTGGATGCAATTGTTGTCGCAGCGAGTGTCATTGAATTGTGCACCTCTTGTCTGTAGTTTATCACCATGCTTTTATCATAAATCACTACTTCCAAGTACTTGCACTTGTGTTGTCTGCATTTGAGGATTTCGCTATGGCTGAGTGTATCGTGGGTAGAAATGCGTTTCGCAAGGTTCGATAAATATTTACTCTCTCTCTGTAGGTATCTCATCGGTTAATACCATATCCGAGACATGAATTGGTTCATCGCTTTGTAGTCACGGTTTAAATGACAGAAGGAAGGAGCTTGGGTTTCCTAGCAACTTCAAGTTAAACTGCCGCGGGCCAATCTGTATGGACAAATGTCGCCGCTAAGATGCGTCCCTGCATTTTAGTAGTTCGGAGAATGCTAACTGGTTCCATCCTATCTCATTCACCATCATCGGATGCCCATGGTTGATGGGCTGTTGGAACGGTCTTTAGAGTGCAGCAAATAGAGGATTTTGTAAAATTACTAGGTGTTTTGACAATTCTGCACCCGACAAGCTAGGCACCCTACATCTGGAAAAGCGATGAACAGCTGTTTCATCGAGAATGTGTGTTCATGGGTTCGTTTCCCTCCCTTGACGTATTGAGTGTACACGTTACCGTGTCTCGAAAGAACAAACCAGCCGTCTAATGCATATTTAGATATAAATTGGAGGTCTCACCGAATGCAACTAAGGAGAGTCATTTTCGAGCTTGGAATGCTTGTTCTACCAATTCTCCAATTTGTTGAAGTAGCATTATTCATGTTTGCGGGTTCGAGTGCAGATGCTATACGCCTTCGTTGCTAGTAACCTCATCGACTGCTTCCGCCGGTGATAGCGGAAGCATACGGTAGCATCTGTAGGGCATCTCCTGGTTCTTCACGGCGATGAAAAAACTGGGTGTGATTCCCTTCTTAGTTTGCATTCGGATGTGTCCTGGAGAACTTTTGCGGCCAGTCGTAGATTGATAGCAGCGTATCACTGAACGGTATCTGAAGACAACTGTCGGTGAGCATTAAAAGACTGAAAGAACACAATTGTCTGAATTTTGACTGAATAGAGACTTCGTATACGGGACCACAGGCTTCCAGGTGGACATGTCGCGACAACCGGCAAATCAGGAGTTGACGAGTAGCTTCGTCGCCAACAGAACCTGTCATACATTACCTGTGGTCAACAAGGGCCCTACCTTTCAGGTAAATGCATATCCGAACTACGAAAAGATCGAAGTTGACTCCAGTAGTAAATATAGCGGACCGCCGCAGTACCGAGCGGCTGTCTCTTGCGTAGCACGATATCTGTTATTCTGGCAGGGTCGCCAGATATCTACTATTCTCTCGTTTCCTGACTCAGGCTTCTTCCTTATCCGACACATAGTGTAGGTCACAATAGACGTTAAATCCTGAAATGAAAAAATTACAAGAAGGTAGACAAAAGTCAAAACTAAACCACCTGGTAAAAACGTCTAATCAAGAGCAGCGTATTTAGGGCATGCTGACAAGCCGACGCTAGGGAGTGGCGAAATATCCGAGGGCAACCATGCGCAGGATAAGACCTCCGTACACAACATCAAGCGGAGTGAGTGCTCGGGGGTTAACAGAATGAGAGTCAAGCGTTACAGTGTCACCGATTTAAATTCCCACTCTAAGGAAAATTAATGAAATGTACCAAACTTGGATTAACATGAAGAGGTTGAGGTGGAAGTAGCTAAAACTAAACGGAAAAGACGGAATAACTGCTAATTTTATTATTAGTTTGTTAAGTATGTCACTGCGGTTTTTAATCTCAGCACTTAAATGCATTTACATTTGCTCAAAGGCGAAACTTTAATCGAAATAAAATTTGTTAGTTTTGACACACTTATTAAACGGGAAACGGTTATATTCATCCCGGGAGAATAAAATTCGGAGGTTTCCTGCAGCGAGCAATTCATCTAATATGATTTCAGGATCTCCTTGTGTTCTTAGTCATTTCTATCGGACGAAGTATTCCAGGTCCATAGAGAAGCCAAAATTAGTAGTTGAAATTTCAAAAGAGTTTAGTGGATGAGCCAAGGTTTCTAAACCCACCTCGTTCAACCCCCGGAGTGCTGGTTGTGTGACGTCATCCGAGCAGCAACAGGGTTCATAACAGATAGACGACGGGTACCACTGAATTGGGAGTTGCAAGTCATGACGATCCCTAAAGAATTTACTCAAAATATGCTGTCTAGGCAGTAAGCACAGCTCGAGGCGTCACAGCAACGTTTGCATGAAACATTACCAAACTCAATGCGTAGGTGAGGCCCCATGTGGAGTATGCAAACCAGGCTTGGCAATCCTAGCTAAAACGCGACCTAGTTGCACCGGAGACCGTACAGCGAAGGGCAACGAAAAATGTGAATGATTTTCTCACCTGCAATACCAAAAGCGACTGAAAGCGTTGGAAGTGTATAGCGGAAGATATCGCCGCCAACGGAGGCGAACTCATCCTGGAGTTTCAGCTTTTGAAAAACCACGGTCACGCTTGCCACCACCTCCTGAAGCTTAGCTGCAACACAGTATTGAGGGGTTATAAACTGAAACTTGCCACCCAATACTGTCGACACGAGTACCGCCGGAATTATTTTTCCATTCGAGATTGTCAGCCATGAAATGGCCTTTCGACGTTTTTCGTTCCAGCGCCCAAGCTACCCATTATTAAAAAAAGACTCGACGATGCTTTACATCATTTACATTACTTGATCTGATTTCTATTCATTGAGTGACGACAAGACGCAAACAAACATTGTGCTCACCAAACCCACGAAGTCGGCGTGGAAGGGGATACCTATGTATCACCCTGGATAATATGGTGAGTCGACGGATGCGTTATCTCGTTTGTGTAACTTAATTAAACTTACCTTATTCGTACAAACCATCCCAGGGGACTTGTCTGGCCTTGGCATTTTTATCCACATAATGCAGTTGTTCCATTTTTCCATTGTTCCGATATCCTCACCGTCAGGATCTACAGCCTCAACGGTTTCCACCGCAGACAAGCTGACTCACAGTATGACAGAATTCCATTACCAGCGGGATGATGGCTTTACATCCGAAGCATGGTTGCCCTGCTATGAAGCCTTGTTAACAAGTGATGGACGTTAGCTGCGCAATGCAACACAGCTAGGCCTTTTTTGAGGCAATCAAGTCCACAAGATTATGAACAGCACTCTAATTATAATCTTCCCAAGCACGCGCGAGATGTATCAATGGGCAGAAATGTAAATCCGCTGACCAGAATTTCCGGCCTTTCAAAGTCAACTTTCAATGTACGTTTCCGATGTTTTCAAATTGTCAAGCACCAGGAGGATGATTTTTGTTACTTACACAGCTGTCCTTAATAGAGGATGTGAACGGTTTCAGCTTGGCATGCTCACAAAAAATCAGTTTAATGAATTGCGTGTTGTTTGTGGATTACGTTCTCCAAAAGAAGTAGAGATTCGTACTTGTATTTTAGCTAGGATGGAGTCTAATCCAGAAGTCCCACGACAGGAAGCCGTAGAAAAATGTGAACAAATGTTGACCGAAGCATGATGTTGAAATGATCCAACGGGATAGCGGGTCTTGTGTGGTAGATGTTCAAACCATTCCCACATGCCACAGGTTATCGCACAACACAGTATATCTCTCCGGATTTACACGAAGAAGCTGTCTACTTAGTGTTTTCGACACAGTGATGAGTGGCATTTCGCTCGATTTTGTGCAATAAAACGATATCTTTGCAGGCCCTGTAAGGATTAGAGACACAAGGAAACCTGGTGTTTGTAGCGTACCTCTAGAAGACAGTCCTGCTACTTCACCAAAACCACAAGTTTTCAACGTTGCCTCTCAAATGTGATGTTTGAAACCATTAGGCCAAAATCAGCGTCTCAGTGGAAGTATGTTACGATTATGATAAACGGTGTTTCTGTTCGGCTACAATTGGAAACAGCATCCGATATTACTATAATGTCTGAGTTTACATGGAGCAGGCTGCGTAAACCCACATGTGTTCAAACTGCACACGCTTCTTAGGATGCTTCCGGTTAAGAATTACCTTTCCTTGGACAGTTCAAGTATGAGTTTGTACTCCGCAATTTGCACGCTAACCGTGTTTGATAGATGATAGGTTATGGACATTTGTGCGGCTGATTGGCTAAACTTAATTTATGGAACATATTTGTACCATATTCGTGATAACCCAGATAATTCTTCACTGTGTCCCACAGATTTCAGTGATTCGTTGTACTCGTGGCTTTTAAAGACAGCGCAACTTTATCATATTTCGCGTCTAAATAACCTAATGTTTTTGCAGTGGGGCTTGGAATTTGTTCCAAGATAAAAGCTGTGTTGTATTTGCGTACCGGTGTAAGCCCAGTATTTTGTCTAAAGTGACCAGTACGATACTGAAGTCTGTGGTTTTCATCAGTCTTGTGACCTAGTCATCGTGGGCCGCTCCTATTGTGGCCATCAGAAATGCTACAGTCAATTCACCCATTTGTCCTGATTTTTCCAAGGGATTCACTAATGCATTGAAAACCCATCATTAGCTCTTACCGATTCCGATGGATTAATTCACGAAACGCATAGCAGAAAAGATCTTTTTTAAGATTTCACTTCCTGATGCGCACTTGCAAACAGTAGTCGAGTAGCACACAAAGGAACGGATCACTAGCAATACACATGGTGGTCTGTGCCGTTACAATCGGTTACCTTCCAGAATAAAATGTGCTCCAGCGATATTTCAACAAGTGATGCTATGCAAACCAGAGTACAGTGTGCCATGGCATACTTGGATGACATAAACACTGTAAGCGCCACCGCTGGAGCTCGTTGCACCCTTGGTCGAAGTATTCTCTAAGATTTATGTAGATGAACTTCGTGTACTTTCAGAGAACTGCGAGCTCATGATGCCCAGTGTCACATACCTTGGCTCCGTTATCCGCAGTTCTGCCCGTGCGCCGAAGCAGAACAAAATAAAAGCTAACAAATTAGTGCTACCCACACAAACAAAGCTACTTTACCGTCTTTCTTGAGTCTGCTTGACTA